GGCGTGCTTAGCCGTCACTGGCGAGTAGCTGGGAAGGCTTGTGGAAGACTCAAGGAGCATGTTGGGAAAAAAGGGAGAATACAAAGAATACAATCCCTTCCCTTCTGAAGTTCACTGTTACTGGAACTTCTTTGATAGACTAAGTCTATCTATCAAAGCCTGAGGACTATGGGCAGGAGAAGACACCAAGTGCCTTTGAGAAGGCACTTGCCACAAGCAAGGGCAGGTGACCCAGGCTAAATGGAAGGACCTAAGGGTTGCAGGGGTTGCTCTGGCTCCGATATAGTGTGTGGGAGGGGCTGGAAACCCTTCTGGTCAAGTCCCTGGGGCCTGACCGAGCGAGGCGACAGGGGAGTTAGGCAGTGATGCTAAGCCCCAGACAAAAGCAACAGCGGCGGAAAACCAAGGCCCCCTAGTGGCAAGTCATGGTATTATCTGACACATTGGCAGTTCCAAGGTGATATTTGTACACCAAGGGGGGGAACCAGAGATACTGTTTGCATTTGTGGATTTCCCCTCCACCCCTTAATAATCCATTAAAGTGTTCTGTGAAGCCCCTGGGTGTCCAGTTTTATTATTGAAGAGAAGTGGCAGATGGTTTGAAATGACAGTTTTTCTTTAACGTATCCTAGATAAAATTCTTGGGGACGAGTACTTTCCCCTCTGATCTAGTTTGGGTGGATTTGTTTTTCTCTTTATTTTTCCTATTTTTTTTTTACCCCCACCCGCATTTCATAGATAATTATGTAATCTAATTAATGTCTATTTTCCTCTTCAGCAAGTAAGCTTCAGGGGCTAGGGATTGTTTGTCTTGTTTGTTGCTGTATCCTTGCCGCCTAAAATAGTATTGGGCATTCATTCATTTTTTTTTAAGATTTGTTATTTATTTATTTGAGAGAGAGAGAATGAGAGATAGAGAGCATGAGAGGGAAGAGGGTCAGAGGGAGAAGCAGACTCGCCTCTGAGCAGGGAGCCTGATGCGGGATTCGATCCCGGGACTCCAGGATCATGACCTGAGCCGAAGGCAGTCCCTTAACCAACTGAGCCACCCAGGCACCCTGGGCATTCATTCATTAAGCTGACAAACCGTTAGGGAGTGTCTGTTCTGTGCCAGGCCCTCTCCTAGGCCCTGGGGGTGTTGAGGGGATAGCAGTTTGCCGAACACTGACTGGTCTTACGGAACTGCCGTGCTAGCGTACAGAGATGGAGGACAAACAAGAACATGGGATGGGAGTGGTGATGAGCGCTCAGGGTAAGGGGCTTCTGCTCCAGGAAGTTTTCTCTGATCACTTGATATTTGAGCAGGGACCTGAAGGACGGGAGGAAGGCAGGAGGGAGGTGGGAGATTTGGGAGAGTTCCAGGGAAAGGTACAGGCCCTGAGGGGAGAGCATGTTGGGTGGTCCTAGGGGCCAGGGGAGAGGAGGTGGGGATGGGAGTGGGACCTTGGAGGCCACCCTAAGGACTTCAGCCTTGACTGGGTGGTATAAGGAGCTATCGAAGGGTCTGAAACAGAGGGAAAGATCTTATCTATGAGACGGTAATAAATTCTTGCTGAATGAATGTGGAATCGTGAAACTCCTTACAGCCCACCCCAGCTCCCCCACCTTCAGCACTCCATTTTGCCTTTAACTCTGCCCATTCAGCTTCTTCCCACCCAGCCATGCCCCACTGCCCAGAGAACTCCGAATCCTCTGGTTTTCTGTCTTTGGTGAGCTCCTGACACCCCCAAACTTGATGAGCTTCCCAGTTATGTACTTTCCCAGCACCCAGCCTTAAATGTGGGTTATGTCTGTCTCCATCATTCCATTGCTGGCTGCCTGAGGACAGGGACACCATCTGGCCTGCTCACTGCTGTATCCCGGGTGGGACGCAGAATGTGCTCGGTAAATATTTGCTGGGTGACGACTGGTTAAATCAGCCTACTCTGTTCCTCTGGGCGTTGGCTTCTATTTTCTGCCCAGTCTGAGGGCTCCAAGCTGAAGCTGGACATCGGGCCAGGGACAAGTCGCTGCCCCTTCCCTCCCAGAACCTGGTCCTTGTTCCTGTGACCTTCAAGCCTCCTCTAGGTCTGAAGTAAGTGCTCTTAGACTCCGCAGACCCCACTTTAGAACATCTGTCAAGCTTTCAGCTCAAGAATAATTGTGTGCCCCACTCCCTACTCTGTCTGTATTCTGAGACAAGACAGCCACTCAATGGTAATTTTTCTAGACTTTATTTTATAGCAATTGTCATGATTAGAGAAGTAAATAACACATTTAAAAACCTTCTCAGGGCCAAAGGATGCCAGAGTATTTACAAACACATGGTGGGGGGGGCAGTGGCAAGACATGAGGGGCTGGGGCTCGGGAGCTGGGGTTCTGCCCAGGCCCTGAGCCAGGCTTGGACGCTGATGCTAGTCACCACGACTGTCCCACCGGCCACGGCACAGGCTCAGGGAGTGTTGGCAGCCTTGGGCCTCTCTCAGTGGGCCTGATGGGAGGCCCTCTAGATAACCTGTGGCCCTGCCTCCCGCCCAGGGGGCTCCCCACACCCCGCAGGCCAGCTCAGAGGGGCCTCTGGGAAGCACCGAAGGACAGGGGCAGTGTGGGGGGCACAGGGGCTGGGACAGAGATCGGGGACGACCCAGCCTGCCCAGGGTGGGACAGAGAGAGAGAAAGAGAGAGAGAGACACACACACACACGCACACACATACACACAGCTTCACAGAAGAATTGAAAGAGGAAGATTTTTTTGAGTGTTGTCTGCTAAGTCTTCGTGTCTACGGTGTTATTTTTTGCTATTTGTTTCTTCGACAGTGACATAAACTGAGGTAAACATCAGTGACCAACACCTCTCCTAAGGGGCAAAGGGTCCCAACCCAAGAAGCAGAGGTGGCGGTGACAGCGCAGCAGGTCCCCGACGGCGAGGGAGCGGGCCTGGCCAGGTTCCGCTCCGGTGTCAAGCGGTCGCTGCCCCTCCCTGTGCCTCTGAACACCGGGGCTGGGCTACAGAACTACAGTCCCCTTTCCAGCTCTAACATTCTAGATACTACGACGAGGAAGAAACTCCCAAATAGGATCTTAACAGAGAAAGAGAGAGAGAGGGCGCGCGGCGAGGGACATCTACTTGGAATCTTGCGTCCGTGTTATTGCAGGAGAGACAGGATGTCGAGAGGCCTAAGGCAAAAGGAGAAGTCGCGGCTGGGAGAGAGAGGTGGCCCGGATGGGCTCCAGGTGGGCCGGGGGCAGTGATGGGGGGGGCCCTTCTCTGAAATGTGGCCCTTGGTGGGAGGAGGGATTGCTACTTACCTGGCGCGTGGAGGGCCCCAGGGCCCAGGGCAGAGGAGGGCCTCCGGAGGGACCGGCACACCGAGGAGGGCGGGGCGAGGCCCTGGGGCAAACCGCACGCTGTTTGTAAACTGGACCCAGGCAGGGCAGGGGGACCTATAGCCCTTTTGCGCGGTGCGAATGAGGGATGAGCGGAGAGAGGTGGGGGCTCCAGGCCAGAGGGTGGTTGGGCCCTCTATGGTCAGCCGGGCTCCTCGGAGAGCCCCCTCCAATGGCCTGGAGCCCCGGTAGGACCCTGGCAGGTGTGGCCCGGGATGGCCGAGGGGCCCCTGCCAGGCAGAAGGAGCGGCCTCACCCATGTCGAGGTTATTGCGGGGTCCCGGGCCTCCACAGCGAGCGCAGGGGTCATGAGGGAACACTGGGTGAGGTTGGGTTCCTGTTTTGCTGCCTCGGGGCCTGAACCCACATGCGGGTGCCTCCCGGCCAGATTCCCTGAGGGGCGCGTGGTGAAGCACGGGCCTGGACACCCGCTGGCAACTGCCTGAGGAGGACCCTGGGGCCGGGCGGAGTTCGGAGGCGTCTGGATGCCATCGCTGAACACAGGAGACTACACGCAAACGTGGGCACTCGACTCACACTCACGCCGCACACACACACCTATTCACACACTCACCCCCCTCGCGTTTCCATGGACCCCCACCCTCATTCCCACAGCATCCTCACACCCAGAGCGGCCCACTCCAGTACCAGGAAGCTGGGAGACGTGGGGTTGGGGGCAGCCCAGAGCTGACATGCCGGTCCCCAGCAGAAACCCAGGGAAATTCCTGGCACAGATCACCTCTGTGTCTGGGCTCGGGGAGCCAGGATCGAGGGGATCTGAGGTTCCCCGGTTGGGGAAGGTGCAGCCAGCTGGGGAGCTGGGCCGGCCCTGGGCTTTGCACTCACACCCGTCGCCCTGGGGATGCCGGGGCGCGACCCTGGCAGCCCTTCCCTTGGCGAGTTTTCGGGACAATTCATGGGGAGGCAGGGGAGGGTTTCTAGAGCTCCACCTCTCAGGGTCCCTGCAGCTCAGGGCAAGTTGTGCTCTTTCGGGGCTCAGTGTCCTCATCTTGGGGGAATGGGTTGTGGGGGTTACTAGATTCTTCAGGCTTGTACCTGCGCGGGCACACACACACACACACAAACACATTTTGCCACATCCAGACATTTGCTACATTTTGCAGAGGGCTTGGCCTCTCCCCTATAGCCTCCCAGGAAAGGGACAGGGCGCAGCTGAGCAACACCCCTGCCCTCAGCTCGTCGCCCTCCCCCTAGCCAGCATCCGAGGGCCCTAAGTAGCCCCTTCTCTGCCCCAACACTTCCGTCCCCTTCTGTGCCCGGGTGTGGGGGGGGCGGGGGGGCGGCCAGGAGGGAGGACCAGGGGTGGGGCTGCGGGATGATCGGCCAGGGGGTGCAAAGGGCTAGGAGCAACTAGTCAGGGTTCCAGGGTTAGGGGAGGTGTGTGTGTGTGTTTTGGGGAGGGGAGTCTGCCCGCAAGCTCCCTCGCTCCGGGTGTCAGGGGTGCATCTGAATCCTCTGGTCTGCGGGGCTCGGCTCCTGTGACCCAAGCCCCCGCCCCACAGGCGGGGCAAGAGGTCTTTTGGTGGCTATCTCCGCAGCCCGCCGCGAACCGGGCGCCCGGGCCCGCAACCCCGCCCAGCCTAGCCCTACTCCCCCCGCCGCCGCGGGGGTGGGGGGCGGGGGGCGGTCGGATTCGCATCCCCCCCATCCGCCCCGGCTCAGCGCGGGCCCGGCCTGGTGCGAGCACGGCGGGGGCGGCTCAGACGCAGATCTCGATGGCCGTGGCCAGCACCACCTGCCCTTTGCTCTTGTCCGGGCGGCCGTCGGTCCTGCCGGGGGGCCCCGGGGGCGCCAGGCCGGCCTCGGGCACGGGCATGGGCGCGGGCGCGGGCGCGGGCGCGGGCCCAACGGCAGGGGGCGCGGGCCGGGAGCCGCTGCCGCTCTCGGTCAGCACCGTCCGCTTGAGCGGCCCGGGCGCCTCGAGGCGCAGCGGCCCGGCGGCGGGCGGGCGGTCCCCGGCGGGCTTGCGCGTGCGGTGCGAGGGCCGGCGCCGCAGCTCGGACGTGAGCTCGTGCTTGAGGAAGCGGAAGACCTCCTTGGCCGGCCCGCGGCGCTCGGGCTCCAGGGCCAGCAGGCGCTGGAACATGCGCAGCGCGGGCTCGGTGAAGCGGCGCCACTGCGACGGCAGCCCCGGCAGGCGGCCCCGCTGCCAGCGCACGAACTCCTCGAAGAAGGCGTCGGCGCCCGACGCCGCCTCCCACGGGAAGTTGCCGGTGAGCACGCAGAAGATGAGCACGCCGAAGGCCCACACGTCCACGCCCGTGTCCACCGCGAAGCCGTCGGCGCGGCCCGCCTGGCACACCTCGGGCGCCGTGTACGGGATGGTGCCGCTGACCCGCTTCACGCGGCAGCCCACGCGGCGCGTCATGCCGAAGTCGGCCAGCTTCACGCGGCGGCACTCGCGGTCGAACAGCAGCACGTTCTCGGGCTTGATGTCGCGGTGCACCAGCTGCCTCCCGTGCATGAAGTCCAGCGCCAGCCCCAGCTGCTGCACGCAGCGCTTCACCGTGTCCTCGGGGAGCCCCACCTGCCGGCCGGGGGGGGGGGGGGCGGGGGGTAGAGGGGGGAGTCGCGCTCAGGGACGGCCGCCATCCTCCCCCACGGCGGTCCCCCCTGCCCCCCGCCTCTCAGTCCCCACTGCTGCCAGTCCCCTCTGGCCGTGGCCCTCCCTGCTGCCTCCCCCCATCCCACGGGGTGGGGGGGTATGCCTGCTTCCTCCCTGGCCCGCTAGTTTTCACCCCGCACCCTCCTCCCCGGTCACTGCCCTGAGCGCTGGCGGCCGCCGTTGCGCCACTTCCCTTATAGGGACGCAAGGCTCTGAGAGGCCTTGCCACTTGCCCACTGGGCGCCGGCGCAGACTCCCCCCCCACCCACCCCCGGCGCCGCCAAACACAGAGCCGGGAGCCTAGAGTCCTCCTGGCATTCTCCCCCCACTCCAGAGCACCTCCTCCGGGAAGCCCCTGGTGGCCCCGCTGCCTCGTCTCCCCTCTTGGGTCCCCACTGTTCCTATGTAGCTGCTGGCTGCGTCTGTCCTGGGGCCGGAGGACCCTCCCCGTCCCTGTGCCACCACACCAAGTACCTGAGGGGGAATGATGTCGAACAGGTCCCCTGCAGGCGCATACTCTTGGGCGAACACGTAGCAGTCCTCCGTCTCAAAAACCACGTCAAAGACCTTGATGATGAAGGGGCTGGAGGAGAGGCTGTTGGTGATGCTCACCTCCCGCAGGAAGTTCTTCAGCTTGGTCTTGCTCTTGTTCACAAACTTCAGCGCCATTTTCGTGCCTGATGGGGCAGCAGCGGCAGTGGTGAAGGCCCCTGACCCAGCGCTCCTGCACCCGCCATCCCCAGGCCTGCCTGTCCAGGCTGCGAGGCCGCAGGGGTCTGTCCTCATCCTACTGGTAGGAAACTGAGGCCCGGCGCGGGGGAAAGGACTTGCCAGAGGCCATGCAGCGACTCAGGGGTCAGCCTGGGTCTCCTGCACCCACCTGCAGCCCTCGGTGAGGATGGCCTGCTCCTTCCTCCACACTCTTCTTTTCTGCCTGACATACAACATGCTGATTTCATCTGGTGGCTCTCCGCCCCCCCCCGGCCCCCAGCCCCCACTTGGACGTAGCCCCCTGAGCACAGGAATCTTTGTCTCGCTCACTGCTGTATCCCCAGTGCCTACAACAGGGCGGTGCCTCGTAGCTGCTCAACGAAGGTGTGCTGAATGGGTGGATAAGAAGGAATTAGACACTGAGAGGTGAGGGGCTGCAAGGCCTATGTCCCCAACTTTGTGCTTGGGTGGCCGTCTGTACCCCCCTGGGGGAAGCACACGTGTCCACAGAGCGTTTACACGTCACAGGCCCTCCCCTCAGCACTCCCCATTCACAACCTGCTCCTCCTAATGACCCTAGGAGGTGGGCCAGCCTGAATTGCTACCCTATTTTACAGAGGAGGCACCTAGGCACAGAGAGGTTAAGCCACTTGCCCAAGGTCACACACAGAGCAAATGGCAAAGCTCAGGCAATCCCTTGTCCAGGGTTCCTCCTGCAGCTGTCAGTTGGCACAGAGCCCCCTGCCCCAGGTGAGTGCAGCTGTGGGAGCTCATGCAGTCCCTGTCCCTGACTGGCCGAGTGGGCGCCGCTGTGAGCCTATGGTGTGGGGAAGGCATTGTGCTCCTGGTTAAGCGAGAAGATTCTGGAGCTGATTCAGTAATCAGCTCGTCCTGGCTCGAACCCTCTCTAGCTGCACGACCTTAGCTGAATGACTGGATCTCTGGGTCTCACTGTCTTCATCTGAGCAACGGAGATGGCCATACTGCCCTCCCAGGGGCATCTCCCACCTCTCCTTAAGCATAGTGCCCTGTTTCCAAGGACCCACCCTCAGCCCTGTCCACTTCTGTGGGGTCAGCCCTGACTTCTCTCCTGAGCTCCAGATGTCCCAGGGTCAGCCCCTCAGCTGTCCCCAAGCAGCCCACCCTCCAGCCTGGGCCCTATATCCCCTCTCAGGTCTCCCTGGGCCGCTCAGGCTGCATCTCTCCACCTGGGCCACGAACTCTGTCTCCCTGCTGACCTCTTGGCTCCCGAAGTGAGCACCTGAGAGCCCCAGACAAGTCCCCACCCCTGCCTTCAAAACCGGCCGCCCTGCAGAGGCTCACCTGTGCCCTTGTAGGCCACGAGGTCGACCTTCCCATAGGTGCCCTTGCCTAGCTCCCGGACGAGTTCGTAGTGCTTGGTGACATCACTGGCAGCCAGGGTGCGGAGCGTCAGTGCCTGCATGTCTTCAGTGAGGAGGGGCACCCCTGCACCCAGCCCAGGGGCAGTCCCCGGCCCACAGCAAGGCAGGGAGCGGGGTGGCTCAGGCTCTGGACAGCCCACGCTCATCTTCTCCCTGTTACGGGGGATGTGGCATGAAATGTGACGTGAAGCCAGGGCCCCCTTGTCCACCCACCTCCTCCTTCCCCAGTACCTAGGGTCCCAGGATGCCGGGCTCAAGATGACCACAAGGGGGCGACAAGCATCTTTGCTGCATCCCAGTTCCCCAAAGCTTCAGGGCCAGGCCTGAGCCAGCACTCTCAGCAGACACCCGCAGTCCCCACTTGGGTGCCACTGGCCTGTCTGTCTCAGGCTGTCATTCAGATGCAGCATCAGACAAGGCACATGTGTTTATGTCACACAAAGACACTCCATATACCAAGTTCACATGGGGGCTCCTATTCATAGATATTGATCCACAGCTGCTGTTTACCAGGGGCTTACTGTTCACAGCTGTGGGGACGCGACACTAAACAGATAAGAATCTCACCCTCAGGGCGCCTGGGTGGCTCAGTCGGTTAAGCGTCTGCCTTTGGCTCAGGTTGATCTCTGGGTGCTGGGATCGAGCCCCTCATTGGGCTCCCTGCTCAGCGGGGGTCTGCTTTTCCTTCTCCCTCTGCCCCTCCCTTCCCTGTGCTCTCTCTCTCTCTCTCAAATGAATAAATAAAATCTTTTACATATAAAAAGAAAAGAATCCCACCCCCATGGGACTTATGTTCCGGGGGGGGCGATGGACAATAAATAGTGAATACATGAATTATATATGCTCATAAAAGGTGATCTAGACTTTTGAGAATGGAAGGCAGGGGGTGAGGAACGTGAGGTCTGAGGGCAGGGATCACAGTATCAAATTCGTCAGCCAAGTAGCGTCAGACAAAACTCTGGCAGGATGGTGCAGATATGGCCACACACCCACCGTGGCCTTCCATCCCTGCCCCTCCACAGACAACACCCCCCCAACTCAGGCCCACACAGCTACAGGTGCAGGCCCAGGGCCCTGCCCAGCCTCCCCCCACCCCGGACACAAGGCAGGGCGCCCGTCCCACAAAGCCCCAACCCTCCCCATTCACAGCCTGACTGACCCCTTTGGAGTCCACACAAACTGCACGCACCCGTCAGAGGTACCGAGTCTGTCCCCAGATGGTGTTGGGGGGCAGAGAGCTGCGGCGGGGAGAGCCCGGGGCAGGGTGACAGCGAATGCCCATCTGGGGCCCGCATTTCTTGTCTGTCAAGCGGGAGGGGGGTTGGGCCGGGGAGCCGGGCTTCCAGCGCAGGTGTGCTCCTGTTTGTGCGTGTATCGGCAGGAGAGGCCGGTACTGAATCCTCTGGAAGCCGAGCCCCAGGAGCCTGCCTCCTGGCGCACCTCTTCTGCCCTCACCTCACTCCCTCCTACCTCCAATCCCAGGTGACTCAGCCCATGCTCCCCCAGCCCCCACCCCTGCAAGACAGCCCAGGGCTCTGGGAGAGAAAGCAGACTTGGAGCCGGCTGGCCTGGCTTTGGGTCCAGCTCTGTCACCTGCTAGCTGGATGGCCTTGGGCAAGTACCTTCATCTTCCCTTGCCTTAGTTTTCCATCTATAAAAAGGATAGAATAGTGCCTTCTCCCTACGGGCTTGTGACTTATTAAAGGCCTTAGCCGTGGAGTGCTTGGTGCTCAGTACACAGTAAGTGCTCTGTAAGGGCCAGGTGCCTGTGCTCTCTCAGTAGTGGGATCTGTGTTCCCTCTAGCCGGGCCCCGCGGAGGCTATGAGCAGGGGTGGGCTCTCCGGGAGCCCTGCATGCTCACCCTGGCCCAGCAGCAACCCTTCCAGGCCCAAACCCTCTTCTCCTCCTCTGCCTTCCCCTTCCCTCTTGGCACGACCCAGCCTCCCACTTCACACAAAGAGGAGGAACATCAGGAGGGAACTTCCTGGCCTCCCACCCAGCCCCAAACGGAGCTCCATCTGCACGTCCCTCCGGCTGGCTGGGGGAGCAGGGGGCCCTCCTCCCCTCCTCCCCTCCTCCGATTTGGCTCCTGCCCCTTCTGCTGCCTCAGGATCCTGCTCCCCCTCTCAGCCCCCTTCCCCTCCATTCATGAGCAAGTCCTGTTCTATAGAACCTTCCCCCGCCACAGCCACTGCCTTGCTTTTCCTAATTCCTTCAGTCTGTCGGAAACGCCACACGAATGCCCTCAGAGGGGCCCGTCTGTAGCCTGGACTAGCTCATTGCCTAGACCCCCACCAGGGGGAGGGATGGTGCCAGGCCCACAGAGACGGGGCCCTGCTCCCCTACCTCAGCCACCCAGCTGGGCCGTGGCACCTGTCACCAAGACTCTATGCAGTCCCAGCTCTGGCCGGACAGCACTGGGTCGCTCTTACTGCAGCCACCAACTAGGCTAAAGTGAGCGGCCCCTCCCCACGATGGTCCTTCCTTGCTTTCAGCGCTGGAAGGGGTCACCCATCCCAACCTCTGTCAAATGCCCACACACTACCCTGGCTGGGGGCGGGGGGCGGGGGGAGGCTGAGAATTCGGAGCGAGGAACCGCAGGCCATCTGCTCTGATGCAGCAGGGAGATGGACAGCGAGTTCTGGGGAGAGTGCTGGCCTCTCCCCCAGGGGTTCCGAGGAGTACACACCCTCTTTGCCTTGAGCTCTCCCCCCACCGGCCTGCCAGTGAGAGACTGCTGGGCTGCTCGGCTGACCTACTTCTCCTGACGTGTGCGGCCTCCCCGAGGGCTGCTACGCGGGGCAGGCCATGGGTGTGCCCGTCCATGCGCACACACGTGTGTGATGCTCCCACTTCGGGCTGTGGCCCTGCCAGTCATTTTGGGCTGTCTCTGCGTCCTCTGGGAGACTGACTGGTGGCTGCAAGTTGCTAGAAGCTCTTCTTCCCTCTCTTCCCTCCTCCCTCACGCAGGGGCTGTTGGGTGTGTGGCTCATCCCTGCTGCTTTGGCCTCAGGGTTGCACTGTGTAGGCACCAGTCTGGGTCAGGGGCCCAGCCACAGCGGGGTGGGTTTGGGTCCCACATTTGCCCCCTGCACTCCAGGTTCAGCCCGCGCTGTGATCACCACCCTGCACTGCCTCTCTCGCGTCTCCTCTGCCGGTCCTGCTGCCCGCCTTGACCTCCCCCTGCCCCAGCCACACTCCTCAGGTCCCATTCCTCTAGGAAGCCTTCCCTGCTGCCCTGGGTGCCGATTCCTGCCTCTGCTGAGCCCCAGGATTCACACAGGGTCTGTGTGTCTCTCTCTGAGGGTTCCTGTTGAAATGTCTTGGGGTGATCTCAACTCTGTCACCTGTCTGTCCCCATCAACAGGCCAAGAGGCCTCCGGGGGGGTAGGGGCTACATCTGATCCAACTTGCCCTCATCCCTTCCTTTCGTTCCTAGGGCCAGTTTTGGGGGTCTTCACTATTGACCCCTCCCTCCTTCACAACCTCTCTCTCCCTTCCGGCCTGTTCTCTGTAAGGTGTCAGCAGGTGACAAGGAATTAATCCACACAGCCATCCCCTGTTGCTGTGTCATGGCCCAGGTACACAGTGCCTCTGACCCAGTTACCATGCATGTGACTTAAGAGGCACAGTGGGGAGCGACAGAAACAGCACGGACCTCGGGGCTCAGCAGGCTTGCCCTTGATCCTGCCGTGCGCCACTTTTTAGCTGGGTGACCTTGAGTGAGTCCCTTGTCTGGGCCTTGGTGACCACACCTTCACGACGGGGAGAATCACAATGACAAGAGCAGCAGCTAACACGGAAGCAGGGCCCTGCTCTAAGGATGAGCTCATCTTCACGATTCAGTGGGTAGGTGTTCTCATGACCCCCATTTTCAGGAGGAGGAGAATGAGGCAGAGAGCCCAGACAGCTTGCCCAAGGTCAGACGGCTCACATTGGGATTGGTTCCAAAGTTGGCGCTCTTAACCACTGTTTTCCTGAGTCAGAATGTTGGGAGTGTCCCATCCGGATCCCTGGGTATCCAAGTGGGGAAACTGAGGCCCAGGAGAGCGCAAAGCCTGAGCCAAAGCTGCCCATTCATTCACTCGGCTCCTGCGGAGAGCCGACTGGGTGTCAGGCGCTGTCCAGGTGCTTCCCGTGTATTAATTCACTTAATCCCCACAGCAGTGAGGACAGAGCAACTTCTTTCAGGCGGGGACTCAAGGCCAGAGAGTAAAGTAAGGTACACCTGCCTACCCAGGTGCTTGAGGGCATATACGCCTGGCATCAGTGGGAACTTGATCTAAAACTATTTTACCTTCATCACCCCTGCCTCCCCTTGAAGGAGCAGCCGTGCACTTGGGTGGCTGTGAACTTTTCAGCAGCGGGTAGTGGAGGCCCCTGGCTGCTCCCCTCCCCTCTCCAACCTGTGTGGTTGATACTACCATCCACACTCAAGCTGACCGTGCTGTTCCGGGGCACCCCACATGCCTCGCACCTCAAGTGTGTGTCCTCACTGGCCCCGGGGGAGGCCCCTGGTTTCCCCTCTGTTGCTGAAGGCAGAGGGGTGTCACCCGGCCTTCCTGGCAGCACTTGTAGCTCTGGCCCTGTGGGCTGGGTCTTCCGCCACACGCTGGGGGGGGGGGGGCTTCCCAAGCAAGAAGCAAGACTGAACTGCTTACCACTTCCTGTTGGCAGATGGCTTGAGCTGGGCACCTCTCTTATGAGAACTACACCCAATGCATAACCCAACTCAGGCCTGCTTTGGAACTGCCCTTCCCTACCATACACACACACACACACACACACACACACACACACACACACACACACACAGAGTACCAGCCTGGCAAAATTTCACTGAGTCCTCATAAGTACCTGAGAAGAAGGGCAAGAGGTCTCCTGCTTTTTAAACAAACAGCTTAACTTAGTACACACCACAAAATTTACCCACAGTAGGGCGTACAATTCAAGGATTTTAGTCAATGTCCATTGCCACGATCAAGTGATACTTTCTATTTTATAGATGAAGCAGAGGCCCAGGAGGTTGGTGACTTACCAGGGTTTTGGTAAAGATAGCCAACTGTCCATCAAAACTTTGGGTTTCCTCTTTTATTTTATTTTTTTTTTTTACTTTAGATTTTATTTATTTATTTGACAGACACAGCAAGAG